AATTCTCACAGACGAGATAGAAACTTAATTTTACCATCTTTGGTAAGTAATAGAAAAAGTTTTTGCATGACGTGCAGAGTCTATACCGGAAAAGGAAGTTTGATGGGAAAAAGTTGTTCGGAAGATAAACCTGAGAAAACGAAACATAATTTTGCACCAACATAATACTTGCACGAGATCTTCCCTAGCAATAAACAAATAAACTGATATTGCTTCCCCTTAGAATTTGTACATCCGTAGTTATTCACATCTTGAACGTAGCGTCTGGATCTACGGGGATCTCATGTGGATGGCAATTTTGAGGCTCTAGCTAAGACACTGTCCAACCGAGAGCACCAATGATGACAGAGATATTCACGGCTGAGATATTCGCCTCCAAGCTGGACCCCAATTTCGTGCCGTGAGTAATTCATTTGCGCTGCCGCTTGAGCAGTGTTTTTGGGGCCCCAAAATTATTTTTCACGTGAAATCTTCGCGGTTCAGATCTGCCACGCTGCCTTCAAAAGCATCGGGCATACCTTCGGCGACTCCATCGTAGCGATTCTCATCGCTGGGGCATCGAATGCCTCGGCGTCCAATCGCTTTGGGACTCATCGGATGTCGCTCATCCCGGGCGTACCTTTCACAAACTCACACATGTCACACCCGAATGAACTCAGAACATTATCGAGTTTTTCAATTCGTCTAAAATCTTTCATCTCATTCCTTTTCACACACTAATCTCACGACGCTTCTGCTCATAGGCGGGTCCACCACAGCATCGTCCATTTCACGGTTGCTGCTAGCCTTGGTTTGCATCTCTGACTGAGGCACGTACGGTTATGTTGCAACGTGCAATAATATGTTGCTCAAGGATGGCACACATTGCCGCCAACATGCTACTGCATGCTGGCAACAAGTTGTTGCAAGTTGTCGACACATTAGCAATACGTACCGCAGTCAGAGATGCAAGCCAACAGTAGCAGCAATCGTGAAGTAAAGTAGTATACTAGCAACAGACGGTGAAGTAAAAAGTGAAAGAGTGACACACAAACAAAAACTCTCAGATAGTTAGGAAATTCTGAATAGGGGAAAAGGAAAGCAAAAAATACAAGAAAATAAGAAGAAGAAACAATTAGGTCTATTTCAAGACAATTTAGTAACGCTTCCGTAAATCCAGAGTCAAAAAGGATAAGTCGAAAAGACAGAGAAAGAAGTAGATAAGTGAAAAAGTGGATAAGCAATACAGAGTGGTGAGTGGAAACAAGTGAGCAGCAGAATTGCATGTGTGCTATTTGCATATTGCAACAGTTGAAATTGAAGGGAATTGAAGGGAGACTTGCAAAATCTTTTTAGAGAGAGAAAGGCAACTTTTCCTCAGTTTCGGCGATGTCGTGGCGACACTAGAGATATGCCCGTCAAAAAACTGCTCGCGATGGCATCGCGCAGCGATAAATCGCGTAAAGTATGACCGATAGTAACGGTAGCGTCCCGGCAAAAAATGGGTGCCGGTTTTTGTGGCGATTAAAGGAGATCCCCTACCGAACAGACGACTGAAATTTGCTCCGAAAGTGGCCCGGATCTTACGGTAGGACCGGACGCCGCCCACACATCGATTTCGAACTGCAAGGCCAGAGCACGCATAGCGCACACAGTCATAAGCGCAAGGTCCCGCAACGACTCTGCGTTTCTACCTTGAATACATCTCGTACTCGTCCGAGCCTAGTAAGATCCAGGCATTTTGAGGGGGTGATTTGTAAACTTCGTAGACCTCCTTTCTCGCTGCAAATCTCTGTCGTCGCTTAGTTAGGGGGACTGCTATTACACTTCTACGAGAGCCAGGTACCCCCCCCCCCCCTGGTTTGGTAGGACGCTGCCTTTAAGCTCTCCTGGGATGAGTTAAAACCGCCAAATCTTTCCTTATTTTAAATCGTCATTCCTAGGAGAGTATAATCACCCGTTGACTCAACTTGGGGCGGATACACTGGTTATTGAACTGCAATGCATAGAAAGTATACTCTGATAAGGCTTCCCACCTGAGAAGGAGTTGGGCAGATGCCTAGCTAAGAGCCGGCCAGGCCAGATCCGCCCATTTGGTTTTTCTTTTCGATAGGCGGTTTTCCCCGCTCCACACCCCAGTCGGCGGAAATCAAGAGTAGACTTATTGGCCCGTAGTAATCCCCTCAAATTTGTCGCAACGTAAAGAAAGCGAGGTCGTGACATGTCCGACTGAAGTACGTGCTGATCACTACCTCGCGACCGTGGCCTGGTCGCTGCAAAACTAGCGCTGCCACTCGCCGCCGATCGTGCGCTTAGCGCTGATCATGAACAGCGAGCACAGCCATTGCGCCATAGATGCTTAGTTGGAGCATGGCGTTCGGAAGACAGGAATGCACAACTGTGCGGTTCTCGCATGAAGAGTTGCACCAATCGATGAAAAACGCATGGGGAATTGTTTTCGGTCTGCGCGCGTGTTGTTGTTTTGATTGCAAGTGTTTTTGTCGAATGTAATGCCTGCTTAAAGAAAGTTTCTATGCTATGTTTCAGGGATATGCTTGCATTTCCGCTGGCACGACGAGAAGGAGCGCGAACGTTCAGTACAGGCGGCTTCATCCTCTCCGGCTGTTTCATCAAAATCAGCGACTGTTAGCGCGGAAGTTCCGGATGGAGGAGAAGCACATCAAGAAGATCTGCCGACTGATCGCACCGCTTATGGGAGACCGCCAAACTCCAAACTGGTCCGTCGATTTGGAGAACATGGTACGATTATAACACAATTATTATCGTTAATATGCTTTAATCCTCAAAAACCATGTGCGTTTTGCGGAAGTGCTTCGAAAGCGATATAACTCCCGAAGCATCCTCTGTTTGTGCCTTGAGTGGCGCAGTGCCTGTGTGCGGGGCTAACAAAGGGATCGTAGAGGGTTCAATTCCGGCCCAGTGCAATCGTTTGCAGGGAAGCTAAAAAACTTTACCCTCTCTTTGTGGCGCAGAACATTGTGCTTAGGCTCACTTATTCCAATTGTAATCTCTTTTTTTCAGGTAGTGATCGCCCTGCGATATCTATCTACGGATGCGCACCAGAAAATTCTGGCTGACACCATTGGTGTCAGCCAGAAGGCGGTCTACAACGCGGTGCGAGACGTCGTACACGCCCTGAACAACCCCCTAATTGTGCCGCACTTCATCCGCTGCCGATTAGGGGACGAGGAGTACTGTCGATCGAGCGCCGCCGCCTTCGCCCGGACAGGAGCGTTTCCGAGCACCATCGGCGCCATCGACGGCAGCTGCGTGCGAATACAGAAGCCTGCACATTCCGGCTGGCAGTATTACTGCCGCAAGGGCTTCACAGCCCTGATTGTGCTGGCTGCTGTAGATGCCCACGGACTGTTTGTCTACATGAATGCGAACTTTCCGGGGTCTGTACATGATGCCAGCGTTTATTCCGCTTCGCAAGTGAAGTATGCCTACGAAGAAGGCGCACTTCCGCATGGCTACAACTTCATCGGAGACTCTGGATTCGCTAATGGGAATGACGTCATTACACCCATTAGAAATCCGGCTACTAGGCAAGAAGTCTCCTACAACCGATGGCACTCGAAGATGCGTGTCATCGTCGAGTGCACATTCGGCATATGGAAGCGGAAGTTCGCAATTTTGAAGGATAGGATCCGCGCGGCTCCAAGAGCGCTGCTAAGATCATCATCGCATGCGCAGTCCTTCATAATATAATGATCGCCATGCGATGTCTGCGCCCGAGGAGACTCGGGCGCAGACTAGCTATATGCGACCATCCGCCAGAAGGTTGCGCTGACATTCGTGGTTATCTAGTCAGTTGTATGTAGTAATTTATTAGTCCTTTTGCTAACCCGCGTTTCGTACTGTGTTTCTTACATTTTTGAGTTTGTTAGACGCTTGTTACCGTTAGATTAAAGCGTTTTGTTATACTATATTGTACATAAGATGGCAGCCCGTGCCAGCTTCGTGCCAGCTCTCCCTCGACTCCTCCGCATAGTAGAAATGGTATGCGAGCCGTTCCAGTTCCGTGCCAGCTTCGTGCCAGCTTCCCTCGACTCCTCCGCATAGTAGAAATGGTATGCGAGCCGTTCCATTTCTGTGCCAGCCTCGTGCCAGCTCTCCTCGACTCCTCCGCATAGTAGAAACGGTATGCGAGCCGTGCCAGTTCCGTGCCAGCTCCGTACCAGCTATCCCTCGGCTCGTTCGGCATACTCGAAATGGTATGCGATCCGTGCCAGTTCCGTGCCAGCTTCGTAGCAGCTCCGTGCCAGCTATCCCTTGGCTCGTTCGGCATACTCGAAATAATGTGCGCGCTGTGGCACCTTCGTGCCAGATCTGAGCTGGTTCCGTGTTGGCCCTTTCGTCATAAATTCAATTAAGTATAAGTGCAGTGCTACCTCTGTGTGCCGATATATTCGGCACCTCTCTTTGTAGCCTAACTCTTATGCCAGATTGCCGTAAAGGCCATGCCGTAAGCATGACCTGCTGTGATACGAGTGTGTTGATTGCCCAGATGCATGCCAAGTTACTTTGCTCCGCCTGTTATCGTTAGCATTCTACCACAGCACCGACGTGTGCTAGTCGACTGTTCATAAAGCTCTACAGCTAATGTGTTCTGTATAACACACATTAAGGGGCGCTATTTCGCCTCAGGCTACTATAAAGCTTACGAACCACCCTTACACTCTGTGACACGAGTTTGTGGGATTGTCTTTGAGTTAAAAGAGAAATTCTCAGAGCCTGCTTAGAATTCTAATGAGTTGCTTCTTTCGAAGCCAGCCAGTGTGTTCATTGGATTCTTGCTGTGAGATTTTATTAGAAAATCTCAGAAACACAACAAAAACACCTCAATAAATTCGTACAAAGGGCACTTTGAAAGGTATCAAATGACGAGATCATGTTAAATATAACTTTGGGCTGAGCAACAGCAACAAAAAAGCAAAAAAAAAATTCATAATTGCCTAATGGAATAGGTCGAGGTTTGCGACCTCGCCAAGTTAGCATCACCCTCGGCGGGCAGGAATCTGGGTGGTGTGGAGTGCTCTTGTGGCTGAAGGTGGAGCTGTGTCGTTGGATTCTGGCGGTCGTTGATGAGTGACTCGAAGAAGTGTTGCTGCAGTCGTAGCACGTCGATGTAGATGTCGAGAGCCATGGACTTCTTTGTAAGCATTGCTTGTTGTTCCTTAAAAAAAGGTGAGTTGTAAGAGGGAAAACAGAGCGAACAACTTATCTTGAGAACTGTGAGCTGCAACTCATTCACCGCCTTGGCGGATGTGCGGCGCCTCTTCACGCGATCGCTAGAAGAGGAGTACGAGTTGAACTGAAATAGAGAGAATCCGAATAGAGTTGATACTGAAATTGCAATTGCATACATCCTGAAGCTGTTTGATTACTCGTCTTTGCTGGATGCGCTTCAGTTCGTCTTTGCCTATCAAAGGTTGGGAGCTAGCAACTTTGATGGAGTCCACAGTCGAATCCGAAACGCTGGCCGTCCTCCTCTCCCTCCATTTTGCTATCCCTCTCAATGTAGATTGAGACGAATCGCTATCCCCTTCGAATCGCGCATTTTCCTGAAAAGTGAAAGTTTATGGGTTTGTAGGTGGCATCGACACATGTTATGAAATGAAGTGCACTCATTACGTACTGCTGTTTCCCTCCTCTCCCGCCCACCGTCTTCTTCTGAATCGTTTAAGTTTGCCCGCCCACCAGCCCTCCTCCTCCGTCTATTCCCTCCCAGTGTCGAATCTGAATCGCTATCGGCACCCTGTAACATCAGTGGTGTGAAATAAACATTGCAAGTTTAGATCAATCTACCTTATCAACAAACGATTCCATTCTTCCTACTCCTGACATTACTGCCTTCTTGCCTAGAGACTGGGCTATGAGCATGTCAGCTTCAGTGAAAGACGCTGACGCGTTTGCAATGGCCTGCTCCAGTGGGAGGTCAAGACCTCCGCCTGTTCCCTGTCGGTATCTAAGGAAAGACATGCATTTAATTCGGGTATACCATTGAGCTATTTCAATACCTGCGTTCCCTAAGTAGGACATCCCTGACGTGTGCTTTGCGATTTCTCCGGACTTTTTTTTACCTGCTCGACCGTCATCAATTTCTTGCATTGTACCAGAACGATGTCCCGCACTTCCTTCCAGGCCTTTCTCTTTTTTTTTGTTGGCTACGGGGTTTCTCGAGTCGTTTAACTCGAGCAGAATATTTTTTCTTTTCAATGTCTCGACGACAATGACGTCGGTATACGAACGGCCTTTGTTCTTATCGTCCATACTGGTGATAAGCTTCTTTTCGGGTGATGCGGGCCTTAGACTCTCAACGGTGTAGTATAAGCCTTTTATGTCTGCGCAAAGATATAAATAAGTATACAGCTACATGTGATGGCGAGTAAGACTTACCGACCTCTTGTAAAGGGAACGGGATTGACACGATTATTGATAATTCGGGTCTAAACATGCTAGCATGTTCATTCTAAGGGTGCGCAAGCTTGAAAATCGGGAAATGACAGCAGCAGTCGATGATTTTTGATAAACCATAAAAAAAACGGGAACACAAGTGATTACTGGTTCAGAATAATCATTTTTTGCACAATTTTGAATCAGAACAGTATTTACAAAAAACGGAAAATATTAGGTTTTAGAGAGTGGCAACGGCGAAATATGATTACTAGCCTTCTCTGCGGAGTTGAGAGGAGAGTATATTGCAATAGTGAAGTGAAAGCCTTCAAGGCGAAGTGAAACTGTGATCGAAAACACAGCCTAGAAATGAAAAACATCTTGATACGTTAGAAAAAGGGAAATAGTAATTACCTGTGAGATGGCTGTAATGAAGTTCGTGTAGACCTGAGGCTCGTACGTTCCCGTACGAATTCCCTCTGAAAAATCAAAAGAAGTCATATTCAAATGAGTAATGTTTATTTGCGAAAGTTTGCAAGCAGTGCTATGCTACCTAGATGCTCTGAATGCGCGCGTGATTGAAGAGAACTTGGGGAGAAAAACATGGAAGAAAAATGGAAGCTTGCAACAGTGGAGTGGTGAACTCTTGTTGAGAGTGAGGAAATGGAACATAAAAAGGACGAAAATTCTATAAGAAAAACTCACTATCCCGAGAAGCAATGTAACTTGTGCTGTTGTCCCTGTAAAGCAATTGGTGCAATTTGACGCTACCGAACGCTGAGGGAACTCTGATTACGTAGTTAGAAGCCGTTTTGTGGATCGCGGTCACGTGCTCCCACAGACAGGAGATTACGCGCTCATATCCAAAATGGATCTGAATCATGAGTGACTCAAGATAATAGCAGTTATAGTATGTGTGCCCAATAGCTATGTATTTCGCAACATAGAATGCTATGGAATGACTGAACTTCAGAATCCAAAGCTGTTTAACAACCCTAATATAGTTCACATGAATCTTATTTGAAACACTGACAAACACTGAAACTGACATATAACACTTCTGCAGAACCTACCACAAATACAATAAATGCGTGAGATACAAACGCAAAACTTTCCCTTGTAGACGAAAAAGGGAAAAGGGGGACTCTACTGAATGACCTAAATAGGTTGCAATTGTGCGGGAGCACAATTAATTATTGATTTCTGGCATTGGTTCCAGGGTCTGAAGATCACGAGCAGTGCTTTTGGGTCCCATTCGGCCGCGAGGATCGCGAGCCATACAGTTGATCCTTTGATAGAACGGTTGGGCAGAAGCACAATGTTCGTACGAACTGACGATCTGCGCTTTTGCAGGTCAACAGCGACAACATACAACAGCAATGCATCCGCACAGCTGTTGTCGCAACCTAGAATAGAAAATTATAAAAGATGAAAAAAAGCAGAAACAAAAGGCACACCTCTGCCTCAATTGCAGGCAGACATTGAGGGCAGAAGCTTGCGTTACTATGCTACGCCACTTTTTCTGAACAATCATGTACAAAAGTTGAAGCGACTGTGCCGATACGATCGGCACACTCCGGCCGGCTATACAGAACAGGAAAAGCAAGGAACAATCCATATAAGCAAATAATGTAATCTACACCATAGCACTGCTTCCATTTGTCCGGATCTAGTAGTGGGAGTTGGTGAGTTAAACGAGTCGCGTCGGCAACGTGGATGTCCAGAGTTCTTGCCGGGAGGCGATGGCGAAAAGCTGTAGACAGTGGAAATGCAGCTGTATATAGCAACAAGTAACGGAATACGAAGTAGTCAGAACACGAAGTGGAGGAGAGCTTTTCATTCTCCTCGGATTGTATGACAGTCGGATTTGATCGTACCTCTATTATGTCCGTGCTTTCAAAAACAGCTGTCGGAAACTTTGCTCGTGGCGTAGGTGTCATGACCTGCCCCCTGCAAAGGAGTATCAGCAGCGGGCACGGATTTTTGGTCCAAATGATTTTGGTCATGTTGTTACACTTCATCGCGTTTCGTTCCGGTTCAATGAATTCTTCTTTGAACATGACTTTAGCAAGAACTTCTTCCTTTTCTCCATGTAAATCATATGATTTATCCATGCGCAATCCAACATGGATCCTTTCTCTCTCCAGTTAATAATCGGGGACTGACTTATCTGTTTTTTTCATTGATTTCCTCGCACTGAGGAGCCTTCTTTGGTGTTCCAGTCGTGCTAATTCCAGCTCAGTTCTTCTGTGTCCTGCAAGATCGCATCTGCCAGGCGATCTTGCAGGACACAGAAAAACTTCTTAGCGTCAGTAAAGGTTGTGAAAAATCTTATCTCTTTTTTGAATGCAATCCATTCCTCTTTCATTAACTTCTTCGCAGCTTCGGATTCGACCTCTTCAATCCTTTCCATCAATATCTCGTAATCTATTTGCAGCAATTCAATGGCTTCTTCGACTTCCATTTTGCACTTCGCTAGCGAATCCAGATGCTGAGCGCATAGATCTTGCTTCTCTTGATCGTCTTCTGGAAAGATTTTTATCTTACCGTAGCCCGCGTACTTCTGTATTAGTTCCGCGAGTTCTTTGGTAGACGTTCTGATTACTTCTGTGAGGAAAGTCGAAATCCTCATCGTTCCTCGAGTGCTGCTGTCAGAAGCGAAGCACTTCATCGGCCTTCGAATTTGGCCGATGCACCAAATGTATCGGTGGTTCCTTGGCTTTACTGTAGCCTGAGGCGAATAGCGCCTGGTAGAGTGTGTTATATAGAACACATTAGCTAATAAGCTTTATGAACGGGCGACCTGCACTCGTGGGTGCTGTGGTAGAATGCTGTAGATTGTAGGCGTGACCAAATAACGTTACAAATATCTGGACAGAAATATACTCGTATCACAGCGGGTCATGCTTATGGCATGACCTTTACGGTGCTTGTACCAGAATAATGATAAGTTGTGAGAAAGGTGCCGACAAAGTCGGCACACTCCGGCCAGCGAGGGGAATGGACAGAGCGAAAAATGTACATTTCATAAACATAAATAACACTTAGATATACAGAAATACTCATATTTGTCGGGATATCTTAGTGGACGTTCCTGAGCAGCTAGGCAGATAGGGTCGGAGTCCAGATTGATGTAGTCATGACAGCTAGCGTGAGATGATGAGGAAATAGACAGTGGTAAGGCAGAATATCGTCGATCATCTGACGCAGTCGATTTTCATTTTTGAGCGACGGAAACACAGAGTAAGGGTTATGAATTGGAAGCTTCTTATTGTTCGTAGGTTGTCGATTCATAGTTTTGTGTCTTCCGAAAACATCATTGCATCCTCTAGACCGACGTTCTCCATCCATAATTGCTTGCGAGGTCAGTTTATCCTCTGCTGGTATGTTTCCATCCATGGCATCTCCGCGGGCCACAGTTGTGCAGTCTTCAGAATATTGACTGAGGCAATCTTCACTTTCGTCTTCTTCCATCGTCGCGGAATCCATCACGATTGCTAGAGCATCCGTTTCCCTTTCCGCATCACGTAAAAAATGGTTGAAAAGACTGGATTGCTGTTCATCAATTACTTGACTTGATGCAAAATTCTTGTATGTTTTTGCATATACTATCTGATATTGCACAGCGATAGTAAAAACATTAGCATCAGAAAGCAATTGGTGAAAGTCAAGCTCTTTTTCAAGCTCTTCTAGCTGGAGTATGACAATTTTTCTCTCGTTTTTTGACTGCTTGAGATAAAATTCTCCAAACTGGTCGACTATGACTGCTTGAGATAAAATTCTCCAAACTGGTCGACTATTGAGTCCAAAATTGTCGATCTTGCTTTGATTTGTGATACGCAAGAAAGGAGAGTATCTAAGCTTTCAAAACATTTCTTTTGAAGCTTTCTATCAATTTCTAACGTGAACCTGAGCTTGAAGTTGCAGAAGTCAAATTTTTTGAGCAGATTGGCTAATGCTCTTGAGTGAAGTGAGATTGCCTCTTTGAAAAATTTGAGAGACATTTTGATGTTCAAAAATTGTTAGGAAGATATGGCTGCTTTTTGAGCCGTTCCGCTACTTTTTGAGCGAAAATTAGGACTTTTGTCCCTGAATGCGGTGGAGAATGGCTGTCGCTGGGTGCGAGGCAGCGTATTTTGGGCGCTAGGTCCCAAGGTTAGAATAGCTAACCTTTGTGCAGTCGCTGAGGCGAAGCACTGATCGGTCTTACGTATTTGGCCGATGCACCATAAATGTGGCGGTTCCGTGGCTTTTATTGTAGCCTTGGGCGGAATAGCGCCTATGGAGTGAGGTAGCTCCGTTGTGTTATTAGAACACTAGCTTTAAAGCTTTATTGAGTCAGACGACCTGCATGGGTTAGTAGAATGCTGCATATAATGGGCGTGACAAGGTAGTATACATGCATCTGGGCTATGGAGATACTCAATCACAGCAGGTCATGCTCATGGCATGATCTGTACGGTACTTAGCAGGGAGTAAAGTGATACGGCAAAGAAGGGTGCCGACATTGTCGGCACAGCGACCCTCATTGTGAGATTAACAACCAAAATAAGAGCAGAAAAAGCAAAAAAAAATAAATGCAAAACCTTCAGTTAATATCTACAAAACTGAAACTCACATCATCTGGTCCAAGCGGAATGATTGTACACAGCACAAAACGAATGGGTGGACATACTTCATGTAGAGATAGTAAGTCGCAACAATACCAGAAATCGAATAACTTGCGAGACTCTAGAGTATAAACATTAGTTCGGAAAAAAGAGAAAAGTTGAAAGTGTGGTAAATACACCTTACCTGGGGTTCATTTGTAGCCATTTCAGACATCTTCTGGATCACTTCAACAGGATCACAGTGCAAATTAGCTTTTGCAACAGATTTCAGATACTGACTGCCGACTGGAAGATATGAGTCTCGCTTTACCCATCTAAAGCGCAAATGTGGCATATTAGAAATGTCATTCTCTAAGCAGGTCTACCTGAAGGCATCAATGCGTATGCAGTTTCTGCTTTTGTAATCATCAGCAGAGTCTCTTGCAAAACCAATCTCATCTTCTATGCCTATTCCAAGAATGCGAGCTCTTGCCTCAACAAAAGGCCTAAAATACGATATGTTCAGCCAAATTGCTAGAAAAATAGCTGATTCGCATCCCCACTTACCACTCAAAGAAGATGTCGTTGTAAACTACAATAGAACGTAATCGAAAAACCTATACAAACAAATAACACACATTTTGCTCGCGAAAATCCCTATAAATTGCCTTGTGATCGTTGCTTCCTCATCCGCTTCCGTGGAATACATCTTTGTATTCTTCGCTGGTAGTGAACTCACGGCTGAATCAAGCTGATAAATTCTGCACATAGGGCTTGAGCAGAGTGAACTTACCCGTGATACTCGGTCTCCTGTCAGAACTGATTCCTTTCACTTTCTTTTCAATGAGAAGCATTTACCGACGAAATACTTCTCATCGATAGGGACTCGCATGTGGTAAGGCACATCATGTTCTGTAGAAACTTAGTGCACTAGGAGCACTCAAGTTACACAAGGTACGCATACCGCTCCACCATATGAAAGCTTCTTAGAGTGATGAACCAACGCCACATCCCGTAAAAGACCTAATAATGAATAATAGATAGAATAGTAGATAATGAAAGACCTACATCTGTGGCGGTATTCATCAACGAACCCTGAGGGTTAAATTTACCCTGAGGGTTAGTTTAACCCCCAGGGTTCATTGGCCGTATTCATCAACCATAGGGTAAGGTTTGCCACAACGCAATCCACCCGTATCGATCAACGAACCTGTGGCCGTATTCATCAGCGAACCCTATGGTTGATGAATACGGCCAATGAACCCTGAGGGTTAAACTAACCCTGGGGATAAAGGCGTCAGTTACGCGTGCGCTGTGCAAACTCACATCACAGAATGCCTAAGTACGTGCTAAATTTACTTTATACTTCTATTCTTTCACTGTTATAGTAGTATAATCAACGAATAAACCTCTAACACTAGTTTTTATAATACATCTCTAGCATATTTGTGCAGCATCGAATCTTAAGCGTGAGTTTATTTTCATGTGTGCAATTGTGCAGTGTAAGTTCTACTTTTGCGCAGTTCGTTTTATACCGGGCTTGTGCTACTCTTTTAGGGGTCAATGCGTGTTATTATAAAGGGGTTCTTCTGTTTTGGCACTTGTCAGAGTGGAATGCCATTTTTCCTCGTCGCATTCATTTGTCACCAAAGCTAGAATTCTTTTCCTCGCGAAGTCAGTGTTTCATGTACTTCGAATATGAATATAAAACGAAGTCGAAACTAAATACTATAACAACAACCAATACTAAATACTACAATACTCGTTGATCGTTTTCCATAAACTGTTAGATGCGAGTAAATGTTTGTATGAAGTGTTAGGGTAGAGTTAACCTTGCTCTGAGCTAGGGTTAAATTAACCCTGATGAATCACGTAAGTTTAACCCTCCAGGGTTAGTTTAACCCTCACGGTTCGTTGATGAATACGGGTTAGTCGCTTCCGGGGTAAAATTAACCCTCAAGGTTAGACTTAACCCTCAGGGTTAAGCCTACCCTGTGTTTCATGAATACGGGTTAAACGCTTTCCAGGGTTAAACTAACCCTCTAGGGTCAGTTTAACCCTCGGGGTTCGTTGATGAATACGGCCACTGGTCTCAACCCGTCGGAAGTCCACATGTTCTGCAAGCGAGAAACCGCCTCATCCCATGTGTCAGCTCAAGATTGAATTCATGCTGCTATGGATCGGCCAAACCGCAAAGATACCAGCATGCGACATCACAGCTGGAAGAGAAAATGTCCAATGCGGTCAAACTTAAGAAGTTTTCTGCATACCTGCGCTTCTCGTGTTCAGCACTTTGAGACATCTTTTATGCATCGAAAAAGTTTGCGGCACACTTGCTGCAAAACAAGAAATTCATAGCTGTAAAAAAAGGTTCTGAAGTAAAAAGAGAGTCAGAGGAGTGTGGAAACTGCGCAGCGTGAACATGGTTGATATGCTTCCGCAAAGTCTGCACAGACGCGAATGTTGCACTGCAGTTGCGCTAGGACAGTGAACGAATACACATGCGGAACAGCAGCGAGTGCAGATTTGGTTTGGAAAACAAGTTAGTGTAAGGAATGACACTCCACTTGCAAAACTTGTGTGGAAGCGGCCCAGATTACCCGAAAACAAGCATTAAATTAGAGCCGCATACACATGTCCATTCCAGCCTCCGTTTTGAGACCAAACAAATAGACATCAAGAAACAAGAAAAAACACTCACTGGTCAAGTCTTCTCGCTGGTCCTTCTCTGCTCGTCTTCAAGTAACAGAACCTCGTCTATGATCAAGTCGTTGTACAACTGAAAGCAACATGTTTCAGTTAACGCCATCGTTACTTCATGCAAAAGACCACAAACGGCAACAACTCACGCAGATCACAGCAAAACATACTAGAGCAGAGTAGCGAGGAAAGCCGACACTATGAGAGCCAAATTAGGCAACACCATGAAAAGCAAAGAGAAGGCGAAACTTCAATGCAGAAACTAAACAAGGAAATTCCGCGTCAACCCGAGACAAAATGGAAGTGAAAGATTTTTAAGTCTTGACGTGAATTGATGGAAGCTGTGTGCGTTTACGACCCATGCAAACTATGACGAGCGTGGCGTAGTCGAGCTCTAGTCTTGCACTATCACTGCGTCTCCGCGCTAAAGCACGCTATTTTCACTCCAGTTTGTTACGAGCTGTACAGCTCGTAACAAGGCCCTTCATTCTGACCCCAGCTTGGCACGAGCTTCTGTCCCGACACCCCTCCACTACACTCGGCGACTTTGATAAGAGATAGCCGCCGAATCGATTCTTACTGCAGTGATTCGCGCTCGGCGCAAACTATGTTGCGATCCCTATATCGCAACATTGGGGGGGGGGGGTATTACGGGCCATTAAGTCAGCTCTTGTAGGGTAAGATTTATATCAGTCCGTCAATTAGAACAATAAAATAAACTTTGCACATCGGATCTCTCCTACTGCGCCGGGTGGTAGCAAGAACGATGTCAGGCTCCTAAGGACGCCTTTTGGATTGGACAAAACGATAGGTCTGCTCGGACGACGCGCCATGGAGACCGCTATGCTCTGCACTTACAACGCCAGAACAGCCTCTATAACGTCGACCTCCACGCTGTTCTCGGCACATCAGGTACCACATTTGCTCTGCAGAAAACGAAGTCCAGGAAGAAGGACGTGCGAAAGATGAATGATGGGACCCTGATTATGAGTGGTGAGAACGGTCCATCACGAAACGTGGGAGGCGCTGGCTTTGTCGTCCACCCATCTATCGTTCATATAGTCGATTCGCACGAGATCCTATCACCCCGACTAGCCATCCTACGATCGCCCTCCACGTCAGAAGATTATCAGCATCATCATCTCCAACATCAGCAGTTGACGACTCAGAAGTAGATGCTTTCTATGAAAACGTAGAGGAGGTTGTCCGCAACAAGAAGTCCTTCCACAAGTTTGTTGGGGCGATTTCAACGCGAAAATGAATGCCACTGAAAAAGGAACATAGGATCGGAAAGTCTGGGTATGGGCTCCGAAACAGAAATGGCAACTTCTCGCTGGGCGTCTTTCCTCCTCACGACTTTCTCATTGAGATTTCATTTTCATGAATAAAGAACATTGTCAGTGGACATAGGAATCGCTCAAAGGAGCAAATTACGCGGAGGTCGACCACATCCTCAACACTCGAAGGAGGTGCTTGCCTGATGTTTCAGTAGGTCCATCCTCCTGCAGTGGCTCTGATCACCGCCTCCTTCAAGCAAAGATACGATTCAGTCGAAGATCGGAAAAGAAAGTCTGTCACAGTGCTGCAAGCAGAAACAAAGTCGTTTATGACGGCAACAGGCTGAAAGAGCTCGTATCAAGTTCTGAATGGTCCATCGAGGAGGGTTATGAGCCCCTGCGGAGAGTGCGCCTCCGTGACTTCGACTGATAGCCAACACCAGTTGTAGAACAGCTTTGTAGGAGGATCTTAAGAAGAGCAGACAAGCCAAGATACAGGAAAGAGACAAAGGAAAACCTACAAAGGAATCATTACTTATAATAACGGGCTAAGGATGTTTGCGTGACTTTGTGTGTCTGTGTGTGTGTCTGTCACGAAATTCGTAGAGCGTGTTCCAGCCAACCTCCTGGGCTCAAATTTTGCACAGTGCATGCTATCCGCATGATAGTCCAACATGCAAAAGCACGAGCAGATTCGTTGAGTGGATCCCTCAGAAACTGCGCGTCAAACGGATCCACTTTGCGTTTGGGTCGCAAATTTGGCCCGAAATTGCACTTTTTATAGAGTCGCGGATGTTTGTGCCACGTAAATGTGCAAGCCGTTAACTTAGGCCCAAGAAGTAATCAATGTCCATTACTTTACAAAAACGGCGCCAAAAAGTATTGGTTGCTTAAATGGTCAATTTGCCAAGGTTTTACCACAGCTTTTGACGAGATTTTTGCACAAAGATGTAGCTCACGGTGACTGCTGTTCTTATTGCAACTGTCATGACCACGGGAAAATCAAAAATCTATAAAAATTTGCGTTTGTTTTCCTGCAAAAAGTCTCATCCACGCGAAATCACCGATTTCAATAAAAAAGCTTTTGGAATGATAGTTGTTTACATTTTGTTTATGATAGTCGGCATTGCTCGGTGAGTTCCAATGCCATCATTGTGCGAGAATGAGTAGAGCCTAGATAGTGGAGCCAGTGCGAGCCTCTGCGAAGCAGAGGTGGCGCACTGGTTCTTAATAAGTGCCGAAGGAACCTCTGCGAATATCATATGCCGCTGACTGCACTACCGAACAAAGAAGGGACCCCAACTTCTTCCCGATTCAAGATGGATTCTATCTTGAAGAATCTCTACCAATGTCTTTCGCTCATCAACACACGTGCCGATGCCCCTTGTTTCCACTGGAAAGTATTACCAAAGATTTTACCTTCTGAGGCGCCACCGCAATACCATGAAGACTATACAATCTTCCCGTTGAATTTCTGCCAGCCAGAGCACAACGTCTGCATAGATTTTCGCGTTGCACCTGACATATTACCTGCAGAAGGAGAGAATTCCAGTGGAGTACGTCAAAAACCGTCTTTCTCTTCAAAAAGAGCGATGGGAGGATTTTCGAAAGTGACTTCCATTATGCTTTCTAAGGTTTGTACAAGCTTTTCACAAAGATTATCTTTGCTCGCATATCTAGGATACTGGATGAAGCTCAACTTCCTGAACAAGCTGGATTCCGCAGGGGATCAATTCTATGGAACATCCAGACGGTTTCGAGGGTCATAGAAGTTTGCCGGAATACTGATTGCCTCTCTCGTCTCAACCTTTCTTCACTCAAGAAAGCCTTTGACAGCGTCGAAATCAACGCCATCCTATCATCGCTAGTGGAGCGGA